CCACTCTTCCCAGGTTCCCTCGCTTTCCCATGCAACTCCACTTCTACCTCCCACATGCTTCCTTTTCCTTAGTAGTCGTTTATATACCCAACAACAGGGTTGGGCTTTTGTGGGTCTGAGACATCCATCAGAATGTTCATTTTGAGAGGACATGGGGTCTTGATTTGTTCTGTGTGCTGTTTCTTCCAAGTGCCTGGTACACAGGTAGTTGTTCCTTGGGAAATATTGTTTAAATGGATGATTCATTGCATTTAAAGCAGGGAATCAATGAGATTCACCTTTTCTCTAAGAACCTTAAAAGTGAGTAAAGAACCAAGAATCCTCTACTGAAAGAAAATTGTTGCCTGGATTATGGGTGGTGGTGGAAGAGATGGAAAAGGGCAGAAGGTCAAGATAGTATATTTTGGAAATACCTCGTACTGGAGGATTTCACGTAAGAGATACGCGGATAAAGGAGAATCCGAGGTGGCTCAGTGCTGTTCATTGAAATGGGAAAATCAGAGAAAGATGGAAAGGGCAATCTGAAGATGAGTTTTAAAGTGTTGTAAGTTTAAGACTTCTCTATGACGTGTTTTGTTTTGTTTTGTTTTGTTTTGTTTTAATTTATCTTACTTGTTTGAAACACAGAGAAAAATAGAGTGGGTTTATTCGCTGGCTCATTCTCCAAGTGGCTGCAGCATCTGGGGTTGGGCTGGGTTGTAGCCAGGAGCCAGGAACTTCATCTGGATCGCCCATATGGCTGTAGGGGCCCAGAACTTGGACCACCTTTTGCTGCTTTCCCAGTTGCATTAGCAGGGAGTTGGGTTGAAAATGGAACAGCTAGGACTCAAACTAGAGCCCATATGGGATGCTGGCATTGCCACACACCATTTTATCTTAAACATTTATTGCACAAGTAGAGATAGGTATTATAAAATGTCATTAGCCTTGAGCCCTCCTTTTAGACGTAAGCTGAAACCCAGCAGTGTAAGTTTGTCTAAGATCACAGAACCTGTATTGACAGCTACAGGTTAGTGTTGTATAATGATACTGAGGCCTTGTTGGGGCTTTTAACTGACTGGATCTTTACTCTGTTAGACCTATCTTCAGACCATAGAAGGTCTCCCCAAGAGGCCACTGAACTTATCTGGACAATAAGACGCTGAACTTTATGCTAGGCAGGTGTTTGCAAGCAATGAATCTCAACTGAACTTGAACTATGGTTATGCAACAAGGTGGAGGAATCCACCATGGGGGGAGGGGTATGGGAGGGGTAGGGGGGATCCCCAGCGCCTATAAAACTGTACTACATAATATAATGTAAGCAACAATAAAAAAAAAAAAAAGAATATGCTTCTGTGCTGATGCATTCTCCTACTTTAATATAAAATAGAATTTTATTACATGCTTACTGTATACTGTGCTATATGCTCCAATGCTTTGATAATGTCATATCCTTTAATATAAAAAGTGATCATTTATTCTGAGTAGTGTAGAATGAAAGTTGGGCTTTGGAATTAGACCGCCTTCGGTTCCCATTCTACCGTTGTCTAGCTGTGTGACCTTGGACCAATCATTTAAATGTTTTAAGTCTTAATTTTCTAATCTCAAAATTGGGACATTGTAAGGATCTCATTGCAATTTCATGCGAGTTTTAGGGTCATCGTTTCCATTTTTTAATAAAGGCTGTTGGGATTTTCTTAAGGACCGCATTTAGTATGTAGATTGTTTTGACTAGCACTGCCTTCATAAAATATTAAGTTTTCTAATTTACAAATGTAAAGTAGCTTTCCATTTTTAAGATCTTTAATTTTATGCTTAATGTTTTATAAGTTTCAGGCTGTAGTCTTGTACCTCCTCTGTTAAGTATACACTCTTAGTGTTTTCTTTAAAAGATGTTACTGCTTTGAAAGACAGAGTTAGAATATTCCCCAAATGGCCACAGAAGCTATAGTGGTGCCCGTTTGAAGGCAGGAACCAGGAACTTATGGCTCTCACATATGGGTGCAGGGGCCAGAGCCCATCCTCTGTTGCTTTCCCAGACATGTTGTCAGGGAGGTGGATTGAAGTGGAGCAGCCAGATATTGAACTAGTGCCCATAAAGCATGCTAGTGTTGCAGGTTGCAGCTTAACCCAGTATACCATGATGCTAACCGCACTCTTAGCATTTTTTATGATATTATAAATGGACTAATTTTTCCAATTCTTTGCATATGGATTTTTGCATGTTGATCACATACCTCATGACTTTGCTGATAGCAGTTATTAGCTCTAATAATTTTGTGTATTTTCAGTTTTCTACGTAGTAGATATTTACATTCATTTTTAAAAACAATTTTAGACCTTGCTGTTACCTCTATTGCAGTATTTTTCAAGTTCAGTTCACAGCCCTTTGGTGGTTTTTGAAATCAATTAAATGTGAAAGTTTTAGGGCCGCCTTGGTGGCATAACAGACTTATCTTCCAGTTTGTGACACCAGCATTTTCCTGTATGGGTGCTGGGTCATGTCTGGCTGCCCCACTTCCAATTCAGCTCTCTGCTTATGGCCTGGAAAAGCAGCAGAGGATGGTCCAAGTCCTTGTGCTCCTGTAACCGCACAGGAGACCCAGAGGAAGCTCCTGGTTCCCAGCTTCAGATCAGCTCAGTTCTGGCTGTTGCTGCTGTTTGTGTAGTGAGCCAGCCAATAGAACAACTTCTCTCTCTCTCGCTCTCAAATCTGCCTTTCAGATAAAGTAAATACATCTTAACGAATAATGAATGTATAAATCGTGTGGATATTCTGTGCACATAACACATGTATGTATACTTATTAAGAATTACAGTTGAATTTTTTGAAATGCATCACACTATTACTTTTCCTATGAAATTATAATTAAATTATTGGATATGATGTATAAAGCTAAAAGTCTGAGCAGTTACAATTGTTTTTATTTGGAATGATTGATCAATTATGGAACATATTTTCCAGATCAAAAAAAATGAGTAAAATATGCACTTCAAGTTTGTAAGATTTTTGCTTTTCATGCTTCCTGATAAATCAGTTCTTAGGTTCCTTTGGAACTCTAGAGAGGAGGTTTCCTACTCACACTCGGGGTGTTTTCTTGGGCCCAGCTTGATAGCTAAATGACTACATCTTTATGTTGCGAGCTCCAGGATCCTATATGGGTGCTTGTTCATGCCCCAGTGCTCCACTTGCCATCCAGCTCCCTGTTTGTGGCCTGGAAAAGTAGTAGAGAATGGTCAAAGCCTTGGGAAGATACTTTATTTTAGATTTTTTTTTAAATGGAAAAGTTGGATTTAGAGAGAGAAAGATCTCCCGTCTGCTGGTTCATTCCCCAAGTAGTCACAATAGCCAGAAGCCAGGAGTTTCTTCTGGAACTCGTGTGCTGGTGTAGGGTCCAAAGGCTTTCACTATCCTGTACTGCTTTCCCAAACCAAAAGCAGGGAGTTAGAAGGTAAGTGGAGCAGTCATGATATAAACCAGCTCCCATATTTAAAATTATGCCTATATACTGGATATCATTCCAGTCTGATGGAGGTAAGTCGAGCATAATATTTTCTAAATTGCTTTGGGTGATGTTCAGGTGCACTTTTTTGCCCACAGGTGGCCTTGTGGGAGTTATGTGTTAATGACAGAGAAGACATTGAAACCGGGGGCTGGCACAGTGGCTCAACAGGCTAGTCCTCCACCTGCTGGCACTGACATCGTATAGATACCAATGTGTGTCCCAGCTGCTCCACTTCCAATCCATCCCTCTGCTTGTTTCCTGGCAAATTAGCAGGGGATGGCCCAGAGCCTTGGGACTCAATTACTTGAGCCGTCACTGCTGCCTCCCAGGTCTGTATTAGCTAGGATTTGGACATGGATAACAAACAGACATGAATGTTTTAACTAGTACACCTTAACCATCAGGCTAAATACCACTCCTTGTGGGAGTGAACCAGTGGATGGAGAACCTCTCTCTCTCTCTCTCTCCTCTCTGTGAAGTCTGCCTTTCAGGTTAAAATAAATTTTAAAAAAAGGCATTCAAGACTGGACAGCACCCTTGGGTCATGCTGCCTGCCTTAGGCCTCTTTCCCCAACTTCTCATGTAGTAGTGAGGCTGTTTCCCAGGGGCCACACTTCTCCCTGGCTTTTTTTTTTTTTTTCGCTTAGTTAGAAAATTTATGTAAACTGAGTGAGTGGATTTCTGAGCCTAATAGAACTCTATTTGAATTCTCCTTTTGCTCTAGGATGAATCACTTCATCTCGGTTTCCTTTGCTTAAAAAATGGAGATAATTTAGTGTTACACTGAAGAATACTAATGCTATACTTTGTGTGTGGCATGTCAAATATAGTATCTCACGTGGTACAAGCTCAGTGAGTGGTAGCTATTAAAATATGTGTGTTTTCATCAGTATTAAATGATGATTCAAGGTAGTTCTATTTCTGCTCCCAAGCAGAGCTTTTCTGTTATGTCGCACCATTTCAAGTGGATACTGACTAATTCCAAGAAGCTCATCTGTGCTGCTGGGGTCTGCTTAGTAGTGGACACCTTCTCCCACCTAACTGTGTAGGCTCTCCTAAACTTACAGTATACCCAAGACTTAGGTCATGGGAACTGCCCTGCTGTCGGGCAAGAAAAAAAATACACATTATAACTGGATGTGTTTTTTTTTCCCTAAAAGATTCATTTATTTATTCTGGAAATTAGAGTTGTAGAGATGAGAGGGGGAGTATGAGAGAGAGTTTTTTTTTTTCTGTTGTTTTACTACCCAGATGGCCACAACTGCTCGCCCTGGGCCAGGCCAACGACGGGAGCTTTATCCAGGTCATCCACATGGGCGGCAGGGGCCAAAAACCTGGGTCACCTTACACTGAGTGAAGCAGATGGGATATGAGCCAGCACCTGCACAGGACAGCAGTCTGGCAGGTGTTAGCTCTTCCCACCAAGCCATAGTGCCAGCCCCAGGGACATCTGTTTTTAACATACCTGAACACTCTAATAGTAAGCTGTCGTTTTATTTTCCTCTCTTGTAGTTATGTGCTGCTCATCTCCCAGCTGAGTCAGAGGCACCAAATCATTACCAGGCAGTATGCCGGGCACTGTTTGCAGAGACAATGGAGCTCCATACATTTCTGACCAAAATTAAAAGCGCCAAAGAGGTAAGTGTGACGCTTTGGTATACATTGGCAGTATGAAAGATAAGCCTGAGCCATCAGCGTTGCCCATTCCGTTACTTTACAGTGTGGTTGTCATCGTCATGAGTGGTGAAAGTCACTTCGGAAAGAAGCAACGTAGGCAAAATTTAAATCTGTTGTTAAGATCTCAGTAGTGCATTTTATAAAACAGATTTTCACACAATTCCACTCAATATCGATTGACTTCATTCGTGCCCCATGGTACTTGTTTTCTGCCCTTTTTCTGCCACTCTTTTCGTTTGTCTATTTTGAAATTATTAGTAACTCTAATAATTAGTGCCTCTTCCGGCAAGGGATGATTGATAAAGTAGGCAACTCTCATATCTGACGATTTATTCTAGAGTTCTTAAAGATGCAATGCAAAGAAGTGTGATTAATATTCAGATAATTCAGAATCACATTTTAGTTATTTTACTTATTATTTAGCAGCATCTGTGAGTTTTAAGTGCTAATGTTAAATCGAAAGAGAATGATGCTGCGTTAAAGGGTGAGTCACATGTTTTGCTTTACAGAAGTGTCTGTGGTGAGTCAGGAAGGTCTTACATAAACGAACTCGGCACCAGGCATGGCGTGAGGGCTTAGTGCATGTTCCATAAGGAGTGTCAGGGTCTGGAGCTTCATCTGCAGCGCGGAGCTAGAACCTAACCACGATCTGCATTGTGGGGAGGGGAAGGAAAACAAGCCACCGTTGATAAATAAGCAGTGTGTGAACCGGACACACTGTGTATGTGCGGGTCAGACACGTGTGTTCCTTTTGTGCTGGCCCTGGTACTCCTTATAGTCCTTTTGTGATAGGCTGCTGAAAAACTATAGCTGATTTTTTTTTTCTGAATTTGTAAAATTGAAATAGAAAGTCATCCACAGGCTGCAAAAGAGCGAAGTGCGTGTTTGCGGAATAAGTGTGTGTGTGTGTGTGTGTGTGTGTGTGTGTGTGTGTGTGTAGAAATGCAGTGAACTAAGCTGTCCCTCTTAGAGTCCTCTCACAGGTGTTCTCAGAAGTCATTTCTGAGTTTACAGAAAAGTATTAGTAAGGACGTCTGTGTTCTGCCCTGGTGAGGTGTTTTTATTTATTTATTTTTTATTTTACTTTCAATAATGTCTACTGGGTAACAGGGTAGGAAGGATCGAGGTTTAGGGAAAATTGAGTGGCTCCATTGCTTCCAAATTTGAGGGGTTCTTGTTTGAGCTCTTGATTAGAACTTTACGTCGTCCGAGTACATTCTCCACAAGTGTCAGGCAGCACTGAGCATGGCGGTGAGGACGCCACCCGGGACTCCTGCGTCCCCTGTCAGCGTGCCGGCAATCACGCCCCAGCTTGTCGGACTTCAGCTTCCTGCTCACTCTGTATCTCCTTCTCTCTGTAGGCCGGCCTTTCCAATAAAATATTAATACATTTTTTTTTTACTTAAGTACATAATACTTTTAAAGTATTGACTTAACTAATTTAGTTTTATATGAAAAATGTAGAAAAGTAGATTATAATTATTTTACTATGAAAAACTTGCTGTTGAATTATTTGCCTTTGCCTCCCAATCTATAGGAAGGCTGAGCTTCACTTACCCGAAGTACTTTGAAAGGAGTATTTCAAATTTGGGGTATTTCCAGATTTTACAATATTTGAACATACATGAGATTTCTCATGGATGAAACCCAGTTCTAAATATAAAACTCACTTATGCTTTGTATAAATCTTACAGACATAAATTAGCCTGAGGGTAGTTCATGCAATTTGAAAAATAATTTGGGGAATGGAAATGAAGTTTCCACATGGGGTGTTTTTCTGCCTGTGGCATAATTTGGAGCATTTCGGATTTGGGGATTAGATAGGAGTTGCAATCCTCAGTGAAGAAGTAAACAGTTTTTTGTTTTTCATGTCATCAAGTATTTGTAAGAATCTCCTAGGAGAGGAAATGTGTGTGTTTTTTTTTTCCTCTTACCAATACAAATAGCTACAGCTATTTAAAAGTGGCATCATGCCAGTCTCTTGATTTTCTAAAAACTTAAATGATTCTCACATACATGTAACTTTTTTCTTAAATTTACCAAATGTTTCTAAATGGTTAACTCTTACCCAAAATTAATAAAATCCTGTCGTGGGAGATAACTTCTAAATACCCAAATTACGGCTAGTAATGTTACAAAACACCGTTTCACATCCTGGTTGCTCCACTTTGAATCCAGCTCCCTACTGGATCCTCAGAAAATCAGAAGATGGTTCCTGTGTTTGGGCCCCTGCAACCGTGTAGGAGACCTGGATGAAGCTCTGGGTCTGGCCTAACCCAACTTCAGCTGTTGGACCCACATGGAGAGTGAACGAGTGGGTAGAAGATCTCTCTGTCTCTCCCTCCCTTTGCTGCTAATATTTGATCAGATACTGAAATTAGGAGATGTGATTTAGAAATAAGCATAACTCATTGTGTATTTTTCAAAATATTGTATTTTAAAGTATAAGCACAATCACTACCTTATCAGGTGATTTAAATATATTTTAGTCTTATCCAAGAAATCACATATATTTGCTAGAATCTTTTAGTTCAGTTTATCATAGAACTATCAATGAAATAGTTTTCTTAAAATGAAATATTTATGTATAAATGAGTTTGAAGGCTCTTCTATTGCTAGGAAGGAAAACAGTATTTTTCAGAATTAACTAAGCTATGATGGAATAGTTTTTATTGTCTAGATTATATGAGCCATATATTTGTTGAAATTTTTTATTGAGAAGTAGAGAAACCAAGAGCTCCTTTCTGCTTTTTTCACTCACCAGACACCCACAATGATCAAGGCTAGGCCTGGAACAGAGCTGAGAGCTGGGAAAAGCTAGGTCTTCATGCGTGTGGTAGGCACTCAACTACTGGACCTGTCGCTTGCTGCCTCCCAGGGTCACATTAGCAGGACGAAGAGTCAAGCGCCCGAGCCAGGGTTTGACCCAGTCACCCAGAAGTGGGACACAGTCATCGTCATCACAAATGCCCACCCGAAACCACAGGTTTATAATCTGAAAATTGGTTGAAAGCAATCAACTGTATTTCCCTTTCTTCATCTCCTAAGCTAGTACAAAGGTCTACCTGTATCATAGTGCCAGTTACACAGTAGCTCAGAATAATACTGTGTGTGACTTGACTTTATACTGTCTTCTCTTTGAGTAGGTTCTGTCTTCTCTTTGAATAAGTTCACAATGGTATGACAGCTAGCTCGTTTCTGTGCTGGAGTGTGTTTCAATCAACTTTTCATATTCTTTGTCCCTCCTTTCATGCCCATTCCCAACACCTCCAGTAGTAAAACTGACATTTAATTTGGCTGAAACTTTCCCTCTAGACTTCAGATGCGTTTATGTATACCAGGTGGTGAATATATCACTTTTTGACAGAAATAAATCCACCACCAGATGTCTGTCTGTACGACTGACATCTGTTCATCTAAATTAGATTATCCATCATCTGTTACTTTTGGGGTCCTTGTCACTATCTTTCTTCTTTGTGTTTGATTGGTTTTTCATGTTGTGGCTGTTAGTACACATGTAGAACATTCGTGTCATCAGTGGTGACCAAATGACCCTCCTTAGTGTCATTGCTTGCTTACCACTTTTTATCACTGCTCGACCCATAAAAGTTTTCCCTGTACATATAGCATTGGGAAAATAATAGGTAGTATTAAATGGCTAAACATATGGGGAGAAATGGTGATAATGTGAGTATATGAAAATATTATTTTAACATGTGAATGTATTTATGGACAAAGGATATTTCATCAATACGGATCATTTACACGTATGTTGATATTGAGCCTACCAAATTAAAAATCTCTGAACATTTCACATATTTGTAATCCAAGTAGATTTGACTGATTTGATTTTCAAGATGCCAGGAATTGCAAATGTTAGTTACAACAGTTCTAATTTCTGGCTTTAGAATGGTTATTTTAGAGATTGGAAGATTTACTTGCCATACGGGTGCTCCTCCTAGTTAGAACTTTTTCAGCGTATTCTAAGCACAGGTTGCCATCTGTCATTACATCTGTGAAAGCAAAAAATTTCATTCAAAAGCTAGAATAGAATTGAAAGAAGCTTGTCTCTAAAACAGAAAAATCTGACTTTTTAGTTTTATGATACAGTTCAATAGGTTCTGGGATTTCCCTTCCCTCCCTGCCTAGGCCCCTCTCCCCCAACTCCCCTCATGTTGTTACAGTGGTATAGTCCTTCATAAACAGTCACAAGTCCATTATTCTGCTCTGTAAGTGTGTCCTGACATTGTAGCTATCGGCAATGGCAGACAGTCCAGCATCCTATTGTCAAGATGTATTTAACAGTTTCATTGGGAGTCCATCTTTGATTTGGAAGTATAGATGCATACTGCATTGTATCTTCACATCTGGATTTGAAAATACCTATCACACAGTTACTGTACATCCCCTTAAGTGAAAAGCCATAAAATGAAAACAACAGGAAGAAAAACAGGAAATTTACAACAGCATGAAGTGAAATAACATGCTATTGAATGACCAATGTATAGCTAAAGAAATGAAAAAGAAAATAAAAAACCTTCTTGAAGCTACAGTTAAGACTTGAACCAACACTCAGGTGAGAAGCTGTCATTGCAGGTAGCAGCTTAATGTGCCATGCTGCAACTCCAGTCCCTCAATAATAGATTCTTAAATACCATGTATTGCTCTGTTGCTAAGTCAGGATGTTAATTTCATGAAAAGGTTAGAGGGAGCATGTTACATTAGATATATAAAAGTACCTCAGGACATAGAAGCAGTAAACTCATGTCTGGACTGTTACATGCCAGATGCAGCTGTCCTGCCAGGTGCCGGGCTGAGATGCTGGCAATGAAAAAATTAACTAGAAGTAGGAAGATTTAAGAATGAGTATGATCAAGAAACAGCAGCAAGCAGGGATGACTCTTGGCACATAAGCCAGGCACAAGGGCCCAGAGCAACTTGCTGAGTCCATCTTTAGTCCA